TAAAAATATGAAGAAATTACATATGTGTAGGAGGAAATTATACACTTCTCATATTTTTATTGGAAAAAAGTATAAATCACACATAAAAAAATGCACCTAAATTTTTTCCATTTATTAATTCAAAAACTATACAAACAAGACGATCACATGAATCCAACCAAACAAACAAAACAAAAGAACTAAAGCATCAAATGAGCAAAATGCACTCTAATCTTCCTATTTTTCCAACTCCTATAAAAAATATTCTCTATAATTTTCTCCAAAGTATTGTTTCTATGATTATGGTCTCCAATGTTATGAACAACTAAAGTTAAATCAAAGACAAATAATACTCGAGATTTCTAAAAATGTGAAACAGTAGAGTTAAGCTTCTTTGGTGAATCAAAAATCACTCTAACCATCTAAAAATTATATATCAAACAACTAAAACAATCTCACACGTAATAAAATGATGATCCATAAACTCTATAAGATATTGATAAAATAAATAAAATGTCTCGCTTGTATTTACTAACATCCTATGTCGTTAAAAGTTCTTTCAGGTAAGAACTATATCTTACGGTAACACTCAAAAACCCACTACAACTTAAAAGAATATCCAACTTTTCCAAACCAGCGGTCGAGAAGACCCCAACCAAAAAATAATTCTCCACCTCTAGCCCTAGGTGTAGTAGAGCAAGTTAAACCAACCTTATCGAATACACTTTAAAAGTATCCAAGGTAAGACTACCTACCCGATCAAGCTTCTAAACTAACAAACTAATCTTTTACCTAAAATCTCAAACTCAAATTCATTATACTAAGAGTAGCTGCAACGCATGGTTGATACTTGCGGTTCACCAACGTGGCAGTGTAACTTTTCATAAATGTTAATCCACAGTGGCAAACGCATCATATACAAGCAACAATTTTATTTTATTTTATAAAACTTAAACTAGCCGTTCAACGGGTAGTTTCATTTTTTTTTAAAAATTTTAACTTTTTTTTTTTGTTATAAATATAGATTTTAGAAAAAATTTACCAACACAAGTTTTCTCTAACTTTTATTTTCTCTTAAATTTCAAATTTCTCTCTCACAATTTCATCATTTTACTTTTTAACTTTTAATTTTTCCCTACAATTTCCTCTCATTAGCCTTTTTTTGATAAAATATTTAATCCAAATTTTTACTTTTTCCCTTCAAATTAAAATTATTTAGGTCAAATAGATCCTAATCATTTTCATTATCAACAAGCTTTATTCAATTACATGTAAAATTATCAAAATCCTAATCCTTAAAATTCTCAATTTCCATCGGTGCCAACAAATCTCGCCATATTTTTCCATCACCAAACAATCCAAATATGTATCATAGACTTCAAATGAATTCTAATAGTATGGGATTTTTTCGCCATGAACTGGAAACACCGATTGGTTTTATGTCTAGATGTCAAGTTCCACCATTTTCTACTCAAGTTGATACTGAAAAAGAAGAAACGATTGTCGTTAAAAAAAATCTCGAGAGCAATTTACAAGGGATGAGAATATACTTCTTATTCAATCATGGCTCAATGTTTCAAAGGATCCAATTGTGGGAGTTGATCAAAAAGCTGAGAGTTTTTGATTAAGAATCGCTACCAATTATAACCAGTATCATGGGCAATCCCGGGAAAAGTTAGGTGGGCAATTAAAATGTCGTTGGCATCAAATAAATGACTTGGTTCAAAAATTTGTTGGGTGTTATAAACAAGCTGTTAATGGAAAGGAAAGTGGGATATCAGAGAAGGATATCATGACCGTTGCACATGCTTTTTTTACTCAGGATGAAGGTACAACATTCAATCTTGAGTACGCATGGCGATTGTTAAAAGATGAACCTAAATGGATGAGAGAATCGATTGGTAATTCTTCAAAAATAAAAAAGTCTTCTTCTAGTGGGGCATCATCGACTAACCCAGATACACCTTCAAGTTATGAGTTTAACTCATCATCACCAATGGAGCGTCCAATGGGACAAAAAGCAGCAAAAAGGAAGGGTAAGGCAAAGGAATTCCAAATGCAATGCAAGACGCAATGATTAAAAGAGCAGCAACAATGGAAAGACTAGCTCAATGTAAGGAGGACGAACTAGAATTAAAGACAATGCATATCATCATGAAAGACACTTCTACTATGAATGATACTCAACGAGATCTTCATGAAAAATATTGTAATAAGATGAAAAAAAATATGGAATGTAGTAAGTATCACTTATGTAAAATGGTCATTAGTACCACTTTAATTTATCAACACCTATGTAAAATGGTCATTAGTACCACTTTAACTTATCAACACCTATGTAAAATGGTCATTAGTACCACTTTAAATTATTAACACCTATGTAAAAAGTTCATTAGTACCACTTTAAATTATACTAAAAATTATATTATTCAAACTAGCTGTTATTCAAACTAGTTGTTATTCAAACTAGCCATTATTCAAACTAGCCGTTATACAAACTAGCCGTTATTCAAACCATTATATATACTACCACTTATGTCATTGTTTTCTCATTCTCATCTTATTCTTCTCTTATACTTCTCTAATTCTTCTATCATTTTTCTCTCATTCTTTAGTCATTAAAATGGATTCAGACAATTCAGATGATTTTGACTAAGAATTTAGGGAGTTGGTTGAAGAATAATTTATGGACGATAGTGATGAAGAACAACCACTTGAGAATGAACATTAATCTGGAAGTTCCTCTATGCCAAAGAGAAGAACAGTGGTAGATCGAAATTGTGAAGAAGGGCATAATCGATTATTCAATGACTACTTCTCAGAAAATCCAGTATACACAAATGTTCAATTTCGGAGAAGGTTCAGAATGCATAGGCATGCATTTCTTCGAATTGTAGATGCCCTTGGAAATCATGATGAATATTTCCAAATGAGGATTGATGCAACTGGTAAAATGGGTCTTTCACCATTGCAGAAATGTACGTCTGTTATTTATATGTTGGTGTATGGGTCTCCTGCTGATGTTGTAGACGAATATGTTCGAATAGGTGAAAGCATTTCAATTGAGTGCTTACAAAGATTCGTTCGGGGCGTGAATTATGTATTTGGGGCTGAGTATTTGAGAAAGCCTAACAACACTGAGGTTGAACATCTTTTATAAATGGGAGAGTCGCGTGGCTTTCCAGGTATGTTGGGTTCCTTTGATTGTATGCATTGGGAATGGAAAAATTGTCCTGTTGCATGGAAAGGACAATTTTGTCGAGGTGATCATGGAAAGCCCACAATCATGCTTGAAGCAGTGGCATCACAAGACTTATGGATTTGACATGCTTTTTTTGGTATTGTAGGTTCAAACAATGACATTAATGTGCTAAACCAATCCAACATGTTTAATGATATTTTGGAAGGACATGCTCATAATGTGCAATATATAATCAATGGGACACCATATAATATGGGGTATTATTTAGCCGTTGGTATATATCTTGAGTGGGCTACATTTGTAAAGACCATTTCAATGCCACAGGGAGAGAAGAAAAATTATTTGCTCAACATCAAAAATCAGCTAGAAAAGATGTGGAGAGGGTATTTGGAGTGCTTCAATCTCGATTTGCAATTATATGTGGCCCAACGCGTGCCTGGCACATGGACACCCTCAAACATACCATATATGTATGCATCATATTGCACAACATGATTGTTGAAGATGGACGACATACATATGGAGGTAATTTTGATTACTCTTATGATAACGTGGCTAACAACAACTCAACAACTGAAACATTTAGCGGTCCTCATCCGAATCTTGCAATGAGACTACAAAGAAGAGCAAATATTCGTGAAAAACGAGTTCATCGTCAACTTCAAGGAGATCTAGTTGAGTATATTTGAGAACGTTTTGGACATAAAGATGATGAATTTAAGTTTGATTAATTTATATGATGTTATTTATTTTTATTGTTTTTAATTATATGTCATGTATTTGAAATTAATTTTAATTATCATTTTAAATTATATGTTTAATTTGAATTTTATTTATTTTATATCAATTTTAATTTAAATAATTTAAATTATTATTTTAAATGATATAAAATTTAATATGAATAAAATATTAATATATAAAATAAAGTTGTGAGACCCAATATGAATTCTTTAGAGTTGCACCATTGCTTCAGACTGACGTGATTTAATAGATTATTAAAAAAAACTCAAAAATAGATTCACAATTGGAGATGCTCTAAAAAATTATATTGACCACAAAAAGATAATATTAGGTCGAAATCTAAAAAAGTCTAGACAATTAAATTTTAAGAGCGAGTCTTATCCACCCATAGACTCTCCCAAAAAAATCGTATGAAGATCATTGTCTAACTTTCTATATAATCCATCAATGAAACTAGTCTAGTCAAATCAAAGAAATTTAATACCCATTCACTAGGAAGAAGCTGATCTAAGCTCATTCCCTACCCCTGCCAAAGTTTGCTCCAAATCACAAACTATAACATAAAAAAAATATTGCTTTCAATCCTATTTATAAGAAACAATTTATTTTTTTAGTTACATTAAATAATTAATACATATGAATTATATATAAATCAAATATATTAATTATTTAATATATCTAAAAAAATAAATGATCTCTTATAAATTAGATTGGAGGAAGTATTTCACAACGATTTATATTTGGCAAGAGTATCCTCCGCAACCACTTACCTAACATATCAACCTCTAATTTATTAGTAAGAGCACCGTTTGTAAGATAAAAGATCTCGCTGACAAAATAAAAATAAAATATCTTATTTCTTTTAATAAATTTTGATTATATTTTATATCATTTCTACGTTTGAACTGGATTTGTACTGTGTCACAATTTAATTTTTAAGTAAAATAAAAAATAATATGTGGCTATGAATGGCACACGAGTTTTGCAACCACACAACAACCTGAAAGTCTCTTTTGATTCTCCCTTAATAGCGTTGGCGAATTCATTTCTTCCAGTGCTACCTCTTTGATTTGACTCCATGGCGTTGGTGAATTCATTTCTTCTCCCCACAAAAAGCCATCTTGCTTTGCATGTTTCATCTCCACCATCCAAAACAACAACACTCCTTTCTACTAACCCATCTTCCAATTCCAATTTCAACTTCAACAAAGCCTTGTCATCAAGAAGAAGGAAGCAATCATGGCATGTTGCTGCTACTGCAGATATCAAAGCTGCATCAACTTTACTTGACGGGGAAGAAGACCAGAAAGTTCTAGTGGAACCTTCTAGTGAGCAAGAACGCAAGGGTGAGAGAGAGGTTGCAGATTATGATTGGACACAGGAATGGTACCCATTGTATCTCACTAAGAATGTACCGCATGATGCACCATTGGGTCTCAAAGTGTATGACAAGAACATTGTGCTGTTTAGAGATGCTAATCATCAGTTTCAATGCTATGAAGATCGATGTCCCCACAGGTTGGTTATACTCTCAACTCTGTATATTTAGTGCTCCTACTGTTTGGTTTTATTGTTTTATAACATGATTTGAAATAAACTCAAGGAACATAAACAAATTCAATGTCTTTGTCTGATTATTAATGTGTTTCAGAATAGGATATTGGCTTTTGTAGATTATTATGTTAGTTATCTTTCTGCAATAGTATCATTTTTACATTACTTTTCATACATGAGAAAAAGACTAGGATATTTAGCACCTTTTGTATGATTCAGGCTAGCAAAACTATCAGAAGGCCAGTTGATTGATGGAAGGCTTGAATGCCTGTATCATGGATGGCAATTCGAAGGCGAGGGAAAATGTGTCAAGATACCTCAGGTACCTTTCTCACCTAAACCATATACCTTTAACTATGTAGCCACATGATGCCAATAAGTCATTGTTTTCTCTGATTTCAATAGCTTCCAGCTGATGCCAAAATTCCCAAATCAGCCTGTGTTAAAACATATGAGGTGAGGGACTCTCAAGGTGTTCTTTGGGTATGGATGTCTCCAAAGACACCTCCAAATGCAAGTAAAATACCTTGGTTTGAGAACTTTGCAAGGCCAGGATTTCAAGATATTTCAACAACTCATGAACTCCCATATGACCATTCTATTCTGCTGGAAAACTTGATGGATCCTGCTCATGTTCCGATCTCGCACGATAGAACGGACTGGACTGCAAAAAGAGAAGATGCACAGTCACTAGGTTTTGAGGTGACTGAACGAACTGATAGAGGTTTTGCAGGTTGGTGGGGACGAGAGAAAGATGGTTCTAAGCCTAACTTCTTACGGTTTGAAGCTCCTTGTGTTCTACAAAATAACAGGGAAATCGTTGATAAAAATGGTGAAATAAACCACTTTAGTGGTTTGTTCCTTTGTAGACCAACAGGGCAAGGGAAATCCATGTTGATAGTGAGGTTTGGAGCAACAAAAAGATCTCCATTAATAAAACTGTTTCCCGAATGGTACTTCCATCAGAATGCAAGCAAGGTTTTTGAACAAGACATGGGATTCTTATCATCTCAAAATGAAATTCTTTTGAAAGAGAAGGTTCCAACAAAAGAACTATACCTGAATTTAAAATCATCAGACACGTGGGTTGCTGAATACCGAAAGTGGATGGATAAAGTGGGACACGGAATGCCTTATCATTTCGGTCACAGCACTATTTCATTGCCTAAAGAGCCTGCTGTGGTTGAACATGCACCTGCCGGACTTGTTGCAGGACAATCAGCTTCCTCGCCTGCAAAGGGAGGCATTGGAACTATGCATGCTCCAAATTTAGCAAATAGATATTTCAGACATGTAATACATTGTAAAGGATGTAGTACCGCTGTCAAAGCTTTTCAAACTTGGAAAAACGTCCTTTCTGCTGTGGTTGTTGCATTAGCTGCATTGGCAATTCTGGTATCTGGGAAACAATGGAAAGTCCTCTTGTTAGCATCTGCATCCTTGTGCTCTGTTGGAGTATATGCTTGTTCAACAGCTATTGCAATGAATACAACAAACTTTATTAGGGTACATAGGAGATTGTGAGCAACAAGTTGTAAAAAAAAACCTTTCCAATAGAACACTTATAGTTTGTATAATGGTTGGATGTCATGTGGTGTTTTATCCATCTGTGTTATTTTCACTGGTACTTTACATGTTATTACACAATGAAAAATACAACAACGTAATCAGTGTATGCTGAAAAAACAAAAGCCAGTGCTGCATCTGTCAGACAGATGCAGTGTTTCTGGAGGGAACTTCACAAAGGATATGGTCACCAAGAAAGAAAAAACCAGTCCCCCCACACCATTTGCATTCAATATACCCTTTTGAGTTGCAAGATGAACACACGATTGGTCTTGGTTGCTGTAAGCATCATAAAGATAGGAGAAATCAAGGACCAGCAGAAAAATATCAAAATGCATCTAATTTTACAGCTAAATTACTCTGTTAAGCACTCAATTAAGAGACAAGTTTTAAAATTTGATAATATGACATCATTCATTTGATATATGATTTACTTATTTGAGCATATGAACTTGCATAAACACTTGTAAGAGAGATTGTTTGAGAGAGGTTATGAAAAAACTTTGACATGTCTTTAAGTTGTTTTCAGATCATATCAATAATATGCTTTATGAAAATAGTTTATAGCTCCTATATCCTTTAACATTTTTTATTGTAATAGGAATATTGTATAAATTGTTCCAGATAGGCCATAGGTTCAAGGACAGAGGCCCGATCATAAGAAGGTTCAGTCCAAGGGCGCGTTCTAGTGTACCCGCAATCAAGAGACTCACACTCAATATTCGCCCTTAGATGATTCTCTACCGTCAGATTAATTAAGCAGTCCTTCATATCTCACGCCGAGAAGCAAGAGTTGGCTCTAACCACCCCTCATATATAAGATGCATCCGCAATCAAGAGACTCACACTCAATATTCGTCCTTGGATGATCATCCATTGTCAGATTAATTGAGCAGTCCCTCACATCTCACGCCGGGAAGCAAGGGTTGGCTCTAACCGCCACTCATATATAAGATACATCACGCATGGTTCTTTATCTGACTTGATCAGAGTTGGATCGTCACAGCTGACTTCGGGCTGGATTTGAAGGAGATGGAGGGGGGGGGGGGGGGGGGGGGGTTACCTGCAAGACACTCTGATGGCAAAGTGAGAGACGAAATGAGCAAGCAAGTATGAATGTAGGTGTGAATGAATGAATACCTGACCCTCTCGAAAGAGAGGGTATTTATAGCCCCCAGCGCTGGATCAAGGTCTCTTTATTGGGCTGATCAAACAGGCCCAACAAAGAGACTGCCAAGTTCTACGTGAGTAGTGGGGACCTGCACGTGGCCCCCTACCTGGATGAATTCCTCCGCAAGACAGGGAGGATAAAGACGCGATCTTTCCGGGACCACGAAGACTCCGCGAAATCCGGAGAGGTTGAAAGTCAGCCCTACGAGAAGGGTGCTCGGAGGGAGCGCTTGCTCGCCGGGGACGTCCTTCGCGAGCACCGGCGGGAAGCAATCATAGTCGACCAGATACCTATGATCGGGGTGTGTTCGGTGGGTATACTGCTCAGCGCAGCAGGTTGGCAAGCTTGGATTGGGTCTCACTGGTGGTTGGGCCAAGGGCAGGCCCAATCCATAACAGGAGCCCCCCAAGTCGTTGCTCATGGTATGAGATTTATGACTTGATTCAAGTTCGCCCCTTCGCGAGATTCGCTTGCGCGACACAGGGGTTTTCAATCGTAGACGTGAGACGTCGCCCGGTTCGTGATTTGCTTCGTGCAACGGTCGAGGAGTGTTCGAGGAGCACTCGCGGGGAGGTGGTGATACACTAGTCAGACACGTGGCGTGGCTCTTGGAAACCATAATGGAAGCCTAGGGAGTAGGGTCATCATTGTCTATGCGAGTAGGCATTGAGGATGAAGGCGGTTTGTGATTCCCCGACGCGACATTTCATATTCTACGTCATCTCTATAAATAGGGCTTCAGGGCCCATAACTTGTTTTCACATTTTCACGTTCTCATATTTTCTCTGCCTTCAACACCGCGTGTTTTCCTAGTGTCGCTGAGACCTCCGCACCGTCTGCCGTATGTTCATCTCCACAATCGTTGCTCCTCACTCTTCTTTCAAGTAAGTGTTCTTTTTCTTTGATATCTCATGTTGTAGATAGATTTTGATGATGTTTAGTGGTATAATTTCGTGTCTGTGTTTTCCTAGTGTCGCTGAGACCTCCGCACCGTCTGCCGTATGTTCATCTCCACAATCGTCGCTCCTCACTCTTCTTCCAAGTAAGTGTTCTTTTTCTTTGATATCTCATGTTGTAGATAGATTTTGATGATGTTTAGTGGTAGAATTTCGTGTCTGGGGATTGTGCCCGAGAAATTCAAGCACTTTAGGCGTCTGATTCATGATCACGCCCGCGACATTCATAGGTTTAGGCATACGGTTTACGATTGTGCCTGTGATATTCATGCGTTTGGCTAATAGATTTATGAACTTGGTCGGGAGATTCATCCTTTCGTTAGTATGTAGGCTAGTTTTCCCCGTGGTATTCTTGTATCTGGCTAGTAATGTTATGAACTTGGTCGTGAAATTCATCCTTTGCTCGCGATATTCATGTTATGCTCGTGACATTTATGATTGTTATACGTCTTCCATTAAGGTCGGTGTTTGGTCGAGGTCCACGTGTTCCCCGTCTTTCGTACGAAGGGCCGTTGACTCAGTCTGAGTGTTGCTTACTTCTCCCCGTCTGTGTGGCGGAAAAGCGAATTTGTTGTCGAATTTACCGATTTCCTATACTTTGCAGGTGAATGGCCGATATTCTTGAGTCCTCGGAGCGTAATGATACCGAGGAAACAAGCACTGCCGACGAAAGCATGAATCTGGTCGACACCGTCGACGACCCTACTATGGACTGGGTTGGTGCGGAACCCCGGGGAATAGCTTCCATCTATAGCTATACCGGTAGACAAGCTTACACTGTCATCGAGTATGGCGGCGCCAATCTGCTTTGATTAGCAAGAAATGGAGTCGACCAGACGATGGGGTCAAAGTGACCGATGGAGGGGCGGGTGCCCAGGCCTTCAGCCTACCACCCTGTTTTATGGAAAAGGATTTCTTCGAGGGGTTTCCCTTGTCCGTATCTGACAACGAGGTCGATATCATCAGGCGGCTCGACAAGGAAGGTCGGAGGAAACACCTCGCCACCAGCATGATCGGGGTGGTGAAAATGGCCGAGATGGCAGTTGTCCTCATGGGAGAAGGGTCAGACTCCTTGGATCGGATCAAGGAGCTGGAGCCGGAGAAGGCGGCTCTTGTGGCCAAATCCCGCAAACTGAAGGCTGCTCTCGAACGCTCCGAGGAAATGTTTCTTGAGCAGTCCGACGTGTTGTCAGGGGAGAAGGAACGGGTCGATAGAGCTCTTGAGGAAAAAGACTGCCTCCAGCTTGATAAGGAGCGGTTGGAGAGTGACAACCAACGACTTTCGAGGGAGGTCGAAGACCTGAAGGCTGTTATGCTACCTGCAGAGGAAGAGCCTGAAGGGATGGTCGACTTATGCACACGTTCTAACTTCATCGCTCACATTCAACTTTTGGAGTCAGACTGTGTTGGCGCTTTGGCTGATGGCTTTGAGTCTGCGGTGAATCAATTGTCCGTGCTAAATCCGGGGTTAAATAACGAAGGGACTGGGGTTCTATCCCAGGTTATTGATGGTCGGGTTGTGCCTCCTCTTGACTCTCATGACATCGACGTTGGTACTCTGGGGAGTGATTGATGCTTTTATTGGTGTTTGGGCCTGCGCGCCCGTTGTTGTTTTTGGGGCCTGCGTGCCCGCCTTCATTCTTTTAGTTTTTTGGCCGTCGTGCTTGGATTGTAATTTTGGACAACGTCGGCCCTTGTGGTCGGTATATTATTAATCTTTGTTTATGACTGCCTATTTGATGAATGCTTTGTTTACAGTTATCTGATAATATTTGATGTATATGCTCGACCGTTATCTTGGTTATGAATTTTTGACGAAGTTTGTGTTTGTATGGAAATATCCGTTCGACCTCTATTTCGGTTCGAGGCATTTCGAAATGCGTCGAATGCGCGGAGTGGGAATTCGTGTGTCGGGCGTATGATCGCGATTGGGATCCTACGCTCGTGGCATGAATTGCCCATCGCGAGCTGGGTGTTCTGCCATGTGGGGTACTTCGACAGTGGAGCTCGATCGAGGTGTCCCTGCCGGGCATGTACGTTTGGTTCGTCGAAATGAACGACAATATGCCTTTGTTGGTTGGTAGGTCGGGCCTGTACCTCGACTCACCTACGTGGTCGAGCTTTTCCCTTCGTCGATTGAAGGTGGCTATTCGACGGCGAAAGTCCTCCAGCAGGTGAGGGCTTTAGCTATAATATTGTTTTAGCTTCACAACATTCCAGGGTCGTGGTAACGGTTTTCCGTTTAATTGCTCGAGATGATACGATCTGGTGCCCGTAGCTCCCTGGATGCGATAAGGCCCCTCCCAGTTTGCGGCCAATTTTCCTTCGCGAGAATCTTTCTGGCTTCTCTGCAAGACTAGGCTGCCGACCTAAAATTCACGTCTTATGACTTTGCTGTTGTGGCGTAGGGCTACCTGCTGTTTCAGAGTGGCCTCGCGCAAGGCTGCTCCTGATCGGATTTCTTCGACAAGATCGAGCTCGTCTCTCAGAGCCTCATCATTCATCTCCTCGTCGAGAGGCATCTCAGTTCTCCTAGATGGCTCTATGATCTCTACTGGGATGACTGCCTCGGTGTCGTAGGTCAGTCGGAATGGAGTCTCACCCGTCGTCGAATGGGGCATCATGCGGTAAGCCCATAGAACGCTATGTAGTTTTTCAACCCATCCCCTCTTTGCTCCTCCTAACCTGCACTTGAGTCCTCGCAAGATGACCCTGTTCGCAGCCTCGGCTTTCCCGTTAGTTTGGGGATGCTCGACTGAGGTGAAATGTTGTTTGGTGTCGAGTTTGGCAACGAAGCTTTGAAAGCTTTGGTCGGTGAATTGGGTACCGTTATCTGTGACAAGCGCCTGCGGGATTTTGAACCGGGAGAGCACGTTTCGTTTGTAGAAGCGGAGGATGTTGTGCGAAGTGATTTTTGCGAGCGCTTCGGCCTCTATCCACTTCGTAAAATAATCTACGGCCATAATGAGGAATTTGTTTTGGTACGTCCCTTGCACGAATGGTCTGAGGATGTCCATTCTCCACCAAGAAAATGGCCATGGAGATGATAATATGTTTAGCTCGTGTGATGGGGCGAGGTGCATGTCGGCATGCCTTTGGCATTTGTCATATCTCTTGACGTGGCCTTTGGCATCTTGCTGCATTATCGACCAGTAATACCCCGCTCACAACGTCTTCCTCGCTAGGGACTTACTGCCCATGTGTTGGGCATTGATCCCTTCGTGCATTTCCCGTAATATCTTGGGGACCGCAGATTCTTAGATACACTTCAAGAGTGGGATGGAAAATCCCCTAT